TTTTTAAGACAAGATTGAAACTGATTGTAAAAGATTCATTTTGAACCTCTTTATTTTATATGGAAAATATTACATTCAAAAGTGGAAATTACCACATTTTAAGAAAGAAATCACCATATTTAAACTTTATTTGGCCCAATGACTAGTAAAGCAATTAAACAGTTAAAATATGTAAAGATTTTAATGATTTTCTTAATAGCCTTAGTTGCATTTTACCTCTTTGTTTAGTAACAAGTGTCCTGTTCTGTTATTCTGTTGTTTTATGTACTTTTGATTTGGCTAAAAATAAAGAGATGAATTCAAGATTCAATGAAGAAGAAAAACAGTGTAACCTCACCATCTTCAGCACTGTTTTATTCACACATTTACATGCTTGGTGTTTAATATTTATATTTTATATTACTGTTATTTATTGTTTGTCATACTGTGGTGTGTCTGTGATGTTCTCAGTCGTCCAGGTCTTAGTTATCCAAGGACGGTTCAAACCAAGGGCAGCTGGACCTGGTTGAGCCTCTTGATTTGAACAGACTGCTTTTATTGAAAGCTGTTCTGATGTGTTATTCCCTTCCTATAATTCTTTTCCAAGCTGTGGATTGCTGTCTGTTTGTCTGTTTTTGAGATGTTTACAGAAAAATGTTGTTGAAGCTAAATTAACTGTCCTTAATTTCAGAGTGCTGAAATGTATTTTCTCTGATTGTATTTAACATCTGCTGTTAATTTAATTTACTTGACTGTTAACTGTAACTGTGTATTATATTTTCTTTAAGTTATGTGTTTTACGTCTCAGAATGATGGCCTTACTCATCACGTCTTGTGGTTTTCGGTAAGCTTTGTGTCTTCTGTATGTAACTTCATGTGTCTGTGTTGTCTCATTGCTGTGCTTCTTATTTCATTTGTTCATTTTGTTTTAGTTCCACAAGCGAAGCTTGAAGTGGAAGAAAACAGGTGCCAGATTCGAAGTATATCTTCCATGAACGTTAATAATTTATTACACTTACTAGAAGTAGCATAGCATTCCTTATGATTCAACAAAAATATGTGATGATAACTGCGTCAATGAGCACAGCAAAGTGTCTGAAAAGGACCTTTATGAGGTTGATGCATAATTCAGCAGAACAGATGATGAAGGCTACCTGCCCAGATTTGCATCCACCTCTTTTCTCAGTATGAATTAACATTACCACTGCGAGGTGCATGCAATTCTTGGCAGGCAGGCAGAATTTGGCACCGGTAGCTTGGGAGAAGTCCCAGTATGCAAGAAAATGTCCTGGTACGCTGAAGAGTAAAATCCTGGGTTGCTGGTAGGCCTACTGCGCACTGGCCCACTTCAAGCACTAAACATAAGTAATGCCAACACCAAATCTTGGTCTCTTTTATGTCTTCCTGCAAGTTTCCCTCTTAGGTCTTCTTTAACTGGCCTTAACCATTTTAGATTCGAGTTCAGTTTAGACTCCAACGCTACATCATATGTGTTGGTCCAAAAACTGAGTTACTGTCACCTGATCCGTCGTCTCCCTAACAAGGTCAGTTATACAGGGGTTGGACAATGAAACTGAGACGCCTCTCATTTTAGTGTGGGAGGTTTCATGGCTAAATTGGACCAGCCTGGTGGCCAATCTCCATTAATTGCACATTGAACCAATAAGAGCAGACTGTGAAGGTCCAATTAGCAGGGTAAGAGCACAGTTTTGCTCAAAATATTGCAATGCACACAACATTATGGGTGACATACCAGAGTTCAAAAGAGGACAAATTGTTGGTGCATGTCTTGCTGGCGCATCTGTGACCAAGACAGCAAGTCTTTGTGATGTATCAAGAGCCACGGTATCCAGGGTAATGTCAGCATACCACCAAGAAGGACGAACCACATCCAACAGGATTAACTGTGGACGCAAGAGGAAGCTGTCTGAAAGGGATGTTCGGGTGCTAACCCGGATTGTATCCAAAAAACATAAAACCACGGCAGAATTAAATGTGCACCTCAACTCTCCTGTTTCCACCAAAACTGTCCGTCGGGAGCTCCACAGGGTCAATATACACGGCCGGGCTGCTATAGCCAAACCTTTGGTCCCTCGTGCCAATGCCAAACGTCGGTTTCAATGGTGCAAGGAGCGCAAATCTTGGGATGTGGACAATGTGAAACATGTATTGTTCTCTGATGAGTCCGCCTTCACTGTTTTCCCCACATCCGGGAGAGTTACGGTGTGGAGAAGCCCCAAAGAAGCGTACCACCCAGACTGTTGCATGCCCAGAGTGAAGCATGGGGGTGGATCAGTGATGGTTTGGGCTGCCATATCATGGCATTCCCTTGGCCCCATACTTGTGCTAGATGGGCGCGTCACTGCCAAGGACTACCGAACCATTCTGGAGGACCATGTGCATCCAATGGTTCAAACATTGTATCCTGAAGGAGGTGCCGTGTATCAGGATGACAATGCACCAATACACAGCAAGACTGGTGAAAGATTGGTTTGATGAACATGAAAGTGAAGTTGAACATCTCCCATGGCCTGCACAGTCACCAGATCTAAATATTATTGAGCCACTTTGGGGTGTTTTGGAGGAGCGAGTCAGGAAACATTTTCCTCCACCAGCATCACGTCGTGACCTGGCCACTATCCTGCAAGAAGAATGGCTTAAAATCCCTCTGACCACTGTGCAGGACTTGTATATGTCATTCCCAAGACGAATTGACGCTGTATTGGCCGCAAAAGGAGGCCCTACACCATACTAATAAATTATTGTGGTCTAAAACCAGGTGTTTCAGTTTCATTGTCCAATCCCTGTATGTGAGAGAAATAACGTGACATACATACAATATAACATACAGTTGTCTTGCCGTTCCCTGTTAAATGAACTAAGCCCCTGAGAAATATCTTTAACACCCTTTGTGTTGCGGTCTTTAACTTCCTGTTTTGGTGTCACAGATGGTGTCAACATTTTGTGTTTCACCATCAGTCATTTTGTTCACCCTTCCTGTTGTATTTAGTTGGACTGCTCTTTGGTTTCGTTGCTGGTTCATTGTTTCTTCCAGAGTCAATACCTGTGTTTTATGTTCCGTGTCACAGGATTACTTCTCTTGTTTCTCCCGTGTCGATATTTCCTGTCGATTCAGATTCCTGGGTTTTTTGCACCTGGTTTGTCTCTGGGTTACCTTGCTTTTGATTTTTTACTCACAATTTTCAGGCTGGAACCATGAAATGTTTTACATGAAAAATGACGATTAAAAATCAAAACATATCCAGAAATGAACAATTAGAAAATGTGCTGAATCGAAAATAGATTTTGATTCTCGATTCAAAATGGATTTGTGAGATCCTGAAATATTCTCACCCCTACTTGTTCTACTTGTTCTACTTGTTCTACTGAGCTTTCAAAAGTGAGAATATAAATGTGTGTGAAGAAAAACAATGCTGAAAATAAACACACAGGTTTAATAAAACTTCTCTGGATAAATAACAGTTCAACATGAATCAGTCAGATTTTAATGTGATGAACAGCTAAACTCTTTGAGTAGAGGGTTGTCGTCTTTTAAAATCATTGAAGCGATGCTTTGACTTGTCTTTCTTGAAGGACACACAGCTGGGTTCAGGTTCAGGTTCAGATCCAGGTTCAGGAGAGGCCGGTCGCCCATAGATCCTGTTAGACAGAAAGGAAAAAGGGATCAAAGTTCAATAAAACATGAAGCTGATGGATTTCAGTCTGTCTATCATCGGCTCATATCCAATATACTGGACCAAACCGGGGCTGAATTCAATCTCAAAACGTTTTGCACTGGTTTGGAACATTTTCGGATCGACATGTTTCCTTGCAACTTTGTTCAATGTTCTGCAACAGGCTTCGAGGTACGTTTTCTCCCATTAGGTGGGCGTGTCTCAGGTGTTACCCAGTCAGTTTGTAAACACAACGTTGTTAAAAAGGCAGGAAAATGCAGTACGCTTGCGTACACAGCAGGGTGTTGAGTGAACAACCGTTTCTGTTGAAAAAGACACGTTTTGTTGGTGCTGAACTCGCCACAGAACTAATGTACTGATCTCTGAGCAGATCTTACTGACAGATCACAAACTAAACTGTTTCACCTGTTTGTATAACTAGACTCACCACAAATATCATGGAGTTATATATATAACTAAAGTTCAGGAACAGGACCATGCCTCTCTCTCACTAACCCAACCTCCTGCGCCTCATTCAATTCCTCCAATCCAGTCACCCGCACATACAAGCCTGTCTAATGCCTTTCTCTCCCGTTTCTCACATCCCTCCCCCCAAACCCTTTTTGGGGCAAGCCTTTCTGTGTGGTGTTTGTACGTTTTTCCCCGGGTTTGAGTGGGTTTCCCTCAGGTGCTCCTGTTTTCTCCCACTATTAAAGACATGCATGAAACACCATAATTGTGCCAAAGTAATACATTTTTTCTACAACAGGAGCCACAGAAGGGTGATAAGCAAGCTCGAGACGAGCCCCCACACTGAGCAACACGACACCACATCCACATCGTGTCTCTTAGCTGCTGAGACTTATAAGTCTTCAGATCATTTTTCAAGGAACTTAAAGGTTCCTTCAGCCCACTGTTGCGTTTCCACCGTCAAGACCTGCCAAGATTAGGCAAATTAACTATCTGGCGTAGGCTATAGGCCTGTACGCCGTACAAAGCGATGCACAGGCATCATTATTTTTAACCACTATCCATGAGCAACATTTATTATTAATACGATTTAAATTTAATATAAATAAATACTGGAGTTGACCAGGTACCATCTAGGTTCTCAGAAACCGCCCAGGTGTCCCAGTCGATGTCGAGGCAGCGTGGATCGAGGAAGCTCTGGAGAAGAGGCAGCAGACGGGGGGGCTATGAAGGTGGGGAGCTGGATCTCCTTGTACACACAGCAGGAGTACTAAGAACAGTACAAGATACAGTAAAGTAAACAGCACACAAGTACTACTGCTGACATTATATGTGTCATTATAAGTAGCCCTGAGCTGAGAAAAACAACAAACACACTCACAGTAACATTCTGCTTTTATTGGAACAAGAGCCAGAATTCAAAGCAACACATGACAGAAGGTCCAAGTCAACGGCATTTCCACCATTTAATGATCAGAGCTTCCATCTTTAAAGGACTGGAAGTGGAAGAAGTTTACATGGAAATGAGGAATCTGTTCAATCACTTTGTACAAAGTTCATTGATGGATTTATTACAAGAAGCTGAAAGATTTCTATGATCCTGTACAGACTCAACTGATCTGTTCTCTACCAGGAGGAGACTCTCCCTCCTACACAGAACACAGAGACACTGAGCAACCAGAACCAGACCAGGACCAGAACCCAAAGCCAGGATAAAGAGGTTCAGTGAATGTGGTGTTGAAGGTGTGGAGGTGGATCAGTGTGTCAGAGGAGACTCTGTAGAAGGACAGAGTGCCAGCAGGACAGTCCACATACACTGCTACTCTGTTGGAGGAGGAGGAGAACGTTCCTCTCTTATTGTGACTGACAGAGTAATCACCATCATCAGAGCAGATCAGACTCCAGTGCCCCGTTTCAGAAAGTTTAGTGAAAATTCAGAGAATGTTCAACCTGAGATGAGGGGAAACTCTGGGTTTTCTGTTTCAGAGAGAGAGATCAGATAATCGCTAGAACTCCTGCAACTGATGCTGTGAACCTCAATAAATAAGAGGCTTCGATCACTTTCTGGCAAGAGGATTACTGCATGTTATTGGTTGTATTGGCCAAGTTATTTTAACAGATAAAAATGACTGGATTGGTCGGTATCCAGAAAGTAAAATAATGTAGAGTCATAAAGATAATTGCAAAAGAGATCATGTATTTATTTTATATATAACTCAGCAGTAAGTCATGTTAATTATAGGCTATAGTCTGTTCCAAATATAAACAAGCATATTAGACATACGCCTACCAAACACATAATCCAGCAGCAACAACAGGCTTCTATTATTGCCTATAATCACGTAAATGTCATGTCTGGCTTCCCCATAAACTGCAAACATTTATTTGGCCACAATTGTGATTATTCCGTTAAAAGAAACAGTAAAGTTTCACAAAGACAAACCTTTTCTGGGCAATGCAGCTTTCATTTGCTGCGCGCGCTCCCGCTGACAGCAATCACTTTTCGTCATGACACCTGTGTTTTTGTCGTCTCACACATGTGGCTGTGTGTAGCAGATACGTTGTTGTGTTACATAGGCAGGTTATAGGTAATGCAGGGAGCGGAATAACAGCAAGCTCATCGGACCTGTCCTAAAAATAAATATTGTTCATGAGTCCTGCACCTCGAATCCAAGTCAAGCCTGAAGTCTTTTGAGGACGAGTCACAAGTCAAGTCTGAAGTCACTGTGTTCTCTTTAGTGCGACTCGAGTCACACTAAAAAGAACACAGAGACATGGAGGAGGAATCTGAACCAGACCACCAGAACCCAAAGCCAGGATAAAGAGGTTCAGTGAATGTGGTGTTGAAGGTGTGGAGGTGGATCAGTGTGTCAGAGGAGACTCTGTAGAAGGACAGAGAGCCAGCAGGACAGTCCACATACACTGCTACTCTGTTAGAGGAGGAGGAGGAGGAGGAGGAGGAGGAAGAGAAGGATGTTGCTCTCTTATTGTGACAGATACAGTAACCAACGTTAGAGCAGGTCAGACTCCAGGACTGATCATTCCATCCAAACACACAGTCTTTGCTGCCTCCTCTTCTTTTTATTCCTCTATAAGTCACTGATATATTAACCTCTCCTCTCCACTCGATCTCCCAGTAACAGCGACCAGTCAGACCATCTCTACACAGCAGCTGAGGCCAGTCTTCAAACCTGTCTGGATGATCAGGATATGGCTGATCCTCCTCCACACATATCGCCTTCTTGTTGTTGTCAGACAGTTTGAGATTTCTGTGTACTGTGTTTATGTCGAGTGTGAAATCACAGGAATCTGATGGAGAGAACGAGACACAATCCAGCTGCAGTTATTGATCTATCATCCGTTCATTGATTGACACTTTGACAATGACATCAGAGCTTTGACTGAGTGATGTCACAGTCTGAAGATGGTTGAATATGTGCTGCTTTGTTTGAAATGAAAAACACACTTACACTTTCTCAGACCTGGTCTCAACCATCGGACTCCACCAGGCTCCACCCTGAAAGGAGGAGGGGGGTCAGACCAGCACATCCTCTTTCAGCATCAAACATGGACATTACATTCCTCTCATACACATACGATATCTCACAAAAGTAAGTACACCCCTCACATTTTTGTAAATATTTGATTATATCTTTTTATGTGACAACACTGAAGAAATGACACTTTGACACTTTTGTAGAGATTCCACAAGGTCGATCTCGTTCCATAGTCAGCACCTACAGTAGCTCTTTCCCAGACTCACACGAATCTTGGCTACACACCGGTTCATCCTCAGAGCAGCTCACATTCCTGCCACTACAACACCATTAGTGATTTGTCTCGTCTCTCATCCAAATTCAGACACTGATCCCCAGAATTGTATCTTCTTCCCATTCCAGTCTTACCGTTTTCAGCTATATCATTCAACCAGCTCCACAGCTGAGAAACCTCTCTACGCTTCACAAGAAGTCATCCTCAACAGCCTCGGCCCAAGCTTCTCTCAGCATACCTAACTGGCTGGAATCGCTTCAAGGCATCAAGCCACCTTTTATCGGTCATTCTCCTCTCAGGCCCTCAAGTTCAACAACAATTTCAGCACATACGCTCTTTTAGTCCAAGTCCGTTCCTCCGCTATAACATGCTAAGCAAGGCTCAAGGAAATTTGAACCCAATCTTAATCTGACTCTTTAATCTATCCTCTATAATCAATGCATTCCACATTTTCGTCTGCATTTGGGTTCAATCCCCATTGTCCAGCATAACCCACATTGACACATACGCTGTTTGTAACACCCTCGTTAAAAGCTGCATCCAGTAGCAACATCTGGCCTAAGACTTGGCGTGCATGAATGCTGAAGACTGCAGGACACTGCCTCTGGACTCGAATTCAAACTCAAAAAGTAGGGGGAAGCATGTCACACATCAGGTCATAACTGCTTCTAATTGCCGTTAGCTAGTTTAGGTCGCAGTGGAGCTAACTTTTCTGTCTTTGTACAGGAGCTTTGGACCCCCAGTAGGAGGTTTTCAGGCCAGGCCAGCAGGAAATGAGCCAAGTTTAGCAGCCTCCCAGTGATCACGGACTGGGACTGAACACAGCCTCCAATAAAGCAGGTCAGACCCAGGGACTATGAAGACATGGCGGGTTCAGGCTGGGATAGGCGATTGTGACAAGCAGTAGACCACCAAACCAGAGCGGGTGATTGTTGGAACAGACTGACCACAATGGTTTTGGTGAGGTTTTTTTTGTTTCTGTTGAGTTTTATGATGAGTTAACAAGGCGATTAGTTAAACTTATATATTCTCAAATCCATTCTTACATATTGCGCCCTTAACATGCAGAGAGATCTGTCCAAAATGTATTATTTAATTATTACCAACAGGCAATTACGATGCTTGTTCTTAAAGATGTTTCACTTAGAGACCTCCTTTTCCAGTTTTTTTGTTCTGAGCAAAGGCCTACATGTGTTTGTTCAAATAAGCCTTATATCCACCATTAACAAAAAAATACCTCCTCTATCAGATTGATCAGGTTTTCTGTGGTCGCAGCAGGCCTCTTCATACCTGAGATTGTCCAGTCTCCAGTGTGGACCCTCTAGTCCTGCAGAGAGCATCGTAACTCCTGAGTCTTCTAGATGATTGTAGCTCAGGTCCAGCTCTCTCAGATGGGAGGGGTTGGAGCTCAGAGCTGAGGCCAGAGAAGCACAGCCTTCCTCTGTGATCAGACAGCCTGACAGCCTGCAAACACACCAAAGAATGCTCATGGCAGATCATCTGAGGTTCCTGCAGTGTTAGTCAGTTACAGGAGGAAATTATATATATAATAATTTGGGGAGTTAACACCACCATGTCACTGTAATCTCCATGTTAAAGTGTATACTGCCATGCTAACAGCTTTGTGAGGCTGTATTAGCTAAATGGTAACATCAGTATGCTCACAATGACAATCTAGCTATTTAGAAGGTACAATGTTATTTGCTAACTTGCTAATCTGTAGTAATATACAGTGGCCTGGTGGTGGTATACGATTGAAGCAGCTCTATATATGAAAATGAACACCTTAAACTAAATCCTGAACCTGACAGGGTGCCAATGTAAGGAAGACAGGATTGGTCTTATGTGACTTGTCTGTCTAGACCAGGTCAACACTTGCAGCAGTGTTTCAGACCAGGGCCAGCTTGTGGCATAGGCGACATAGCAAATTGCCTAGGGTGGAAAATGTCAGGGGGCGCCACAAGAGAAAGTTTTTGACTTGGTGTGAATCTACTCAGCCCAGCTAATACAACACCGGCGTAAACCGTGATAGTAATCAAGTGCACCTCGCGCTGTGAGACCAGTCCGTTGTGACGAGTGATAACGTAACTTGTAGAGTTTTGCAATATAAACCTAATTAAAACTGATGCGCAACCTTTCTCTGAGCAGAAATCCTTCTGAAACACAGGAGATATCAAAGTCCAGGAGTTTGTTACTGAATTAAAATGAATTAATTTATCGTTGAGGTGGAAACTTGCAATATACACATTTAAAGAGGTTACTTCCCCAAACAAAGACACATTCCTGACGTTTGCTCTACAGCCAATGAAAGTGACCCAGTAAGCTGAGTGATCATGGGAGCTATGCTATTGGGTGCAACAATAAGGACCTCTGTCTTGATTGTATTGAACTGTAAAAAATGGTTAGCCATCTAGTCCTTAATGACCAAAGGAGAGAAATTAATTGCAATCAAAGTACATCAGGGGGTGAAGAAGTGACAGTGTTTTTGATTTTGTTAAACAGGACTTTAGGGTTGGGTTTATTATAAGAAATTAATGTAGCAAAGTAAGAGGCCCTCGCATCCTTTATCACATTATTTAACTCAGTTAAAAGGTCCTTGTAATAAAGTGGTGAATGTGAAGCTTAATGGATTTCCAGTCATGATTATGCATGGAGGACTCATCGTTAACATGTACAAACTGAAATCGATCTGATAAATAGGACTTAAACCAGCTTAGAGCGGTTCCTTAAATGCCAATGAAATATTCCAGTCTCTGCAATAGGATCTGATGGTCAATGGTATCAAATGCAGCACTAAGATCTAATAAAACCAGTACAAGTCCTTTGTCTGATGCAATAAGGAGGTCGTTAGTAATTTTCACCAGTGCTGTCTCTGTGCTATGATGAGCTCTAAATCCTGACTGAAAATCCTCAAATAAACTATTGCACTGTAGAAAGTCACACAGCTGTTTAGCAACTGCTTTCTCCAGAACCTTAGAGAGAAATGGAAGGTTAGATATAGGTCTATAGTTGGCTAAAACATCCGGATCAAGTTTGGGCTTTTCAGAAGAGGTTTAATTACAGCTACTTTAAAGTACTGTGGTACATAGCCTGTTGATAAAGATAGATTGATCATATCTAGTATAGAAGTGCTGACTAAGGGTAAAACATCTTTAAGCAGCCTAGTCGGGATGGGGTCACATATTGGAACACAGTTACGTCTTTAGAAACATCGAAATCACGGTGAAATAGGCTATTCGTTTTTTTTCCCTCAAACATGATCTTTAACATGACGCTTTTATGATCAATCTGTCATGGATGTATGGACAGAGAGTTATCTTTGGACATCGTAAATTTATCCACAGCACAGAATAAAATCTATAAGCTACACTGTCCTTTATGACACAGTGACTCTGTGGACATTAAGGCAAAAAACTTACTGTGCGCTACAGTGCTGCAGTTTAAAGTAATCTGTATAAAACTGATCAGTGAACAGTAACCTTTCATCTTGTTGTCGCACTGATCGTAGTTGTCAGCTAGATTATGATGTGAATATCTCTGAGTGAGGATGACTGCGGTGCAGCTGAAACAAATAAATGTAATTTAAAAGTGAGTTTTTCATTATCTGCTGATCGTCTGAATGTGTTTTGACAGCATTTCATAAAATACGAAATGAGCAAGATTTTATTAATGTAACATAGATGTCTAAAACTTCACAGTCAGTTTGAACCTAGACACATTTTACATTATTAAAAAATCATTAATAGGCCGACTGAGTCGGACTGTCACCACAGGTCCATGAGGAGCCTAAACTGTGTCCAATCTGTTCGATTAATATTTTCATCTTCAGTTATTGCCACCGGCATTTAGTCCCGTCAGGTTCCAGCTGAATAAACAGGCCTGTAGCTGTTTAAAATGAACAACAGGCTGGAGGAGAATCCTGCACTTTATCAGTCATTAAGGAAACTCCAGTCTGGTAAATGATGAATGAGCAACGCTGTAATAAATGTAATGTTGTTCACGTATCGATCCTCCGCTCCTGTGTTTTAGAGCCAATCATGTTGACACGTTGGCAGCATTCATATTTGTAGCTCCACCCGATTAAAATGGAGGCTCTGCTTTATTTAGCCGTTGCCATGGTGAATCATAGTATCGGAGGTCTATTGATGAGGCTTTTTTTCATCCTCACGCACACGCTTCAATCAGGCTCAACATACTCTGAGTTGACTGAACTTATTTGATCAGCCTTTCTGAAACGGAAAACTCGGAGTTTGACAGCTCAGAGTTCAGGTTTACAACTCAGAGTCTGTTGAACCTGCTTTCTGAAATGGGGCCCAGAGGCACTGTGGTCTGTGTTCACACATGCGCGTCTCACTGGGTGTTTCCTGTTTAAATTTTAGTTTCACTTTCTACAGACTTGTGGCGCAATTAGTTTTCACCGTCTGAACCTCCAGCTGAAGGTAGGGTACTGTAAAATGTTTGAAAGGTTTTCCTCGTTAACCAAAGCTGTGGTTATCTTAGTTACACTAGAAGCAGCAGAAATCTGCCGCTTGATGAGTTTCACTGTGAACTCAGGTCGAAGGAGGAGAAAAAGCTGCTATTAAGATACATATGGCCGCCATGTTGTGTGTCTGGTTAAAGTCGATTTATTCTCAGGAGTTGAACACGTAGTAGTTGTTACTATGTAAGTAGACCAACACTGAATCAACGTTGAATCAACGAAACTATCATTGAATTGAATGCAGTTAGTTGAAATGCAGAATTCATTGTTAATCAGTTTTGCACCCTGAAATAATGTTATTTCAATTATGAAAAATAGATCAAAACGGTCATGAAAGCATTAGTTCAGCCGAAATTCAATCGTTGATTTAACGTTAAATCATCATTAAAACAACATAAAATCAGCTTTATCTACAGCAGGATTCTGTGCAACTTGCCAGCAAATCATGTCAAGAGTTTTGTTTTGACACATAACAGTGGATGAGAGTTTTTAGCAGCTATAGCAGCACAGAAAGAGAAGCTGCCTCTGGTAGCAGTGCAGCCTTCTCTTTGATAGAAACACATGTCAAAAGGTCAGAACCTTGTTGCCTATTGGCAACAGAGTCAATGTTCTGCAGCCATAGATTGTATCTTCAATGCCTTTGAAAGCATGTATGTGCTATATATGATTCTCTTCACTTGCATGACACAATGGGAGTGTTGTATGTTACACACTGGAATGTGTACGGAGAAGAAAGATTCACACAGTATAAAGCACACTGGTAAATCCTTCTTTTGGCCAGATGGTGACATTTGGACATTTCTGATGTGAGTTTGTTGTCAGAGCTGCTGAGAAGCTGACAGCAGAGTTAGAACCAGGTTAGAACAGAAGGGCATGCAGGTTTAACTCTGGGCTGAGGGTGGATGATGAAGAGGATAACTAGGCTGCAAATAAGACATAAAGATAAAAAACCAAATGAAATGAACAACAATAAATCCATATATCAGTAATCTGGATTTTAAAAAAACGTGACTCGTATTCGTATCTTTCAATTCTTGCTTCTCTTAGTTGAGTACATGTCTTCACTGTAATTATCTAATTATTTCCATCCATCCATCGTCAACCACTTACCCTGCATACAGGGTCGCGGGGGGCTGGAGCCAATCCCAGCTTACACTGGGCGAAAGGCGGGGTACACCCTGGACAGGTTGCCAGATTATCTAATTATTATTTTTCTTATTATTTGAGTGGGGGCTAAGGACCATGTTTGGGTAGCTTTCGCCTCCCTAAAATAGGCCTAACAACGTCCGTGCTAGCGTTCCTTCTTTAAGTCAGTTTGAAATGAAATCTAAATAATAAGTCTTCAGACTCAACAACAGAAGGGATCGAGCTTTCTCAGTCGCAGACCCAAGACTGCAGAATGAATTGCCTCTTCATGTCAGACTGACCCCCAGCCTTACGTTTTTTAAATCGCTACTTGAAACTCATTTTTACTCCTTGGATTTTAATACAGGATGAGCTGTATGTTGCTGTTTTGTTTGGTGTTGTATTTTTGTCTATTTATTGATTCATGTCAATGTACAGCACTTTGGTCAATTTGGTTGTTTTTAAATGTGCTTTAGAAATAAAGCTGGATTGGATTGGATAATAATTAATTAATTAACTTTTAATATTTTATCAATGAGCTTTATTGAGACTATCAGTCTTTTATTTTGGTAGGCTGTATCTGCTTGGGTAACAGTAGTGGAAACTAAGTAATCCAGTAGGCTCCAAATGTAAAGTACTTTCTTGAGTATTTCTGCTCCTTTCTACTGTAAAGGAGGATTTGAGTTGATGTGCAGATGAATGATTTGTGTTTCCTCTCCAGGTGAAAGTGGATGTGAGTTGAGCAGCATGAGTCAGTGTGAGGACAGAGAGGAGGGAGTCCCTCCCTCTAAAAGCACTCTGTGTGGGGAACATGACAGCCAGACCAAAGCTCAGAGGTGAGATGAGGATCTCTAACTGTCCAGGACTCAAATCACTCCACCATCATTATTCACTCTCAAAGCTCTGTGTGTGTTGTGTTGAAGCCCAGAGCAGCAGCAGGGACCAGACTCTGCTGGACCTGGACCTGGACCTGGACCTGAGCCCAGCTGTGTGTCCTTCAAGAGTGACCAGTCAATGGGTCGACTTAATGAATTTAAGCGAGGACGTGAATCTGACAGACAGTAAGTATCAGTCAGTATTAAACAGTGTTGGCCAATCAGAGCTAAATGTTCATGTCTCCCTCCTCATGTTGCTCCCTGCTGATGTTTGTCCTCATTAAACCAGTCTGACCAGTTGTCCTTATAATGTCCATGTTCTCCTAGAATGATGATGAAGATTCAGCTGAGGATACAATGAGGCTTCAGCAGTCTGAGTTACACTAATCAAGTATTTTTAGTTTGAAGCATTCTCTTTAAATTTAGTCCTAAAATGTTTCACTTTCCAAAGACTTTAAATAAGGGATTTGAGCTGAAACAATTCATTGAGACATTTGAATAACCTGATTACTAAAAATCATATAAGACAGAAAGTGTCCAAAGTATGGCATCATTTTAAGTTAAAAGAAACTACAACTCTGTACAGTGTGTATAATGTAAAACAGAGCTAGCCTACTATAACAGCACAAAGGCAATGCTTCAGCATCCAAACAGAAAGCACCCGGTCTAATGCGGCTTTCAGACCAAACGTAAATTTAATCCTCCCAAATCTCTCTTTGCTGGACAACTGTTCACACACAACGCGATAACGTAAATAAACACAATCCGCGATAGCTACAGCTGTATGAACCGAAAGTAAACATTTAGCTGTGATTTAATTGCAATAAACAGATCAAACTGATGCAGAAATAACTACAATATAATGCCGATTTGTTAAAACATATAACATACATATGTTTTCTGAATGGAGTTCGGATCGATCAGGGCTATGCAAACTTGTTCACACTAAAGTATAACGACAGCTGGAATAAATTTACAGACACATCTTTTCTGGACTCACCAGATAGCTCAACCTTCTTCCTTTCTTTTCTCCAAGTAATGTCCAGTTTTGTCCGTTTCTTATATAAATATGAATTAGTAGTCAAACAGAGCTCTGGGTGAACACTGACGCTAACAACAACGGTGTGAAAATGCACAGAAGCTAGCTGCTGAGAAGCTTGAGTAAGTATAAATCAATGTTGTAATCCCAAAAACTAAAGTAAAGAGATAATTTTACTTAGTTTACTGCGAGCTCCTCCTACGAGTAAACGGCCTAGTTGTCCGAGCAGAATCCAGACCGACTAGGGTGTCTAAAAGCTGCAGCGCTGCTCCCGGCTCTGTTCAACTTCTCCCCCAAGTTTAGCAGCTCTCCGCCGGCCAGCGGTATTTCAATCCCCCACTCTGCCGGGTCTTCTCCACACAGCGCTTTGAAGCAGTCTGTGACATCCGGACAATCTCAACTCTGACAGGCTATTGCGACTCAGCATCATGCGACTTTCTTCTTGAGTTGAAAATTTTCAACTCACGTGAAGGCCTCTGCTTGAAAGTGGATGTGAGTTGAGCAGCATGAGTCAGTGTGAGGACAGAGAGGAGGGAGTCCCTCCCTCTAAAAGCACTCTGTGTGGGGAACATGACAGCCAGACCAAAGCTCAGAGGTGAGATGAGGATCTCTAACTGTCCAGGACTCAAATCACTCCACCATCATTATTCACTCTCAAAGCTCTGTGTGTGTTGTGTTGAAGCCCAGAGCAGCAGCAGGGACCAGACTCTGCTGGACCTGGACCTGGACCTGGACCTGAGCCCAGCTGTGTGTCCTTCAAGAGTGACCAGTCAATGGGTCGACTTAATGAATTTAAGCGAGGACGTGAATCTGACAGACAGTAAGTATCAGTCAGTATTAAACAGTGTTGGCCAATCAGAGCTAAATGTTCATGTCTCCCTCCTCATGTTGCTCCCTGCTGATGTTTGTCCTCATTAAATCCAGTCTGACCAGTTGTCCTTATAATGTCCATGTTCTCCTAGAATGATGATGAAGATTCAGCTGAGGATAGCTGTGATTTAATTGCAATAAACAGATCAAACTGATCATGCGACTTTCTTGCTGAAAATTTTCAACTCACGCGAAGGCCTTTGTGTCGCCGGCAGCGCCCCCTACTCATTGCCCCCTTCGCATCGCCCGACAGGAAATCACGGCTCTGCATCTTTGGATTGACTTTGTATGTTAATGCACCACCCCCAACGCTCACTTCTCTTTTGGTCTGAATGAACCTTAAGCATTAATCAACAGAGCGGAGCCCGAAAAAAGGTAATGGTTAGCATTTAACGTAAATCACAATTGATAGCTGAGATGAAGTTCATTTCGCAAGAGCAGAACTGATGATGTTCAGAAGAAAGTTCTTTGTTTCTGGCCATTTTGAGCCTATACTGCTGATCTCCAGATACTCAACTAATCTAAAAAAGGCAACTTTTATTGCTTCTTCCACTCATTAAGACTATGCAATGTTTGCGTGCTTCTCTCTTTAAGACTGGCTGCCAAGGATCCATTGGTGATGGTTGCTAAAATTGGGCTCTGTACGCCTCTGTAGATATTCCATTACAAATCAGCCGTCATATTGATATTATTTCTGCTTTTCTTCTGAAAACAGAATTAACTCCAAACTTGTGAACAGTAAGGTACTTTTAAGATATAAAAAAAATAGAGCACCATTTCTTAGGTCATTTCATATAATTTTCAAGCGTTGTATGCAGGACCCGCGGTGTATGTAGATAGAAATGACTCATTCCAAAGTGTGATTTATACTTCTGCGTCTAATCGATGGTGTAAACTACGCAAAACCATGTATCCTTTGCAGTAGCTACGTGCATAGCTGATGCCGTAGGCTACGGCGTAGACCTGAAGCAGGAGTATAAATCACCTTAAGGTAATAAAATATAACTTAAAAAATATAACTTCATTGTGTAAGTCAGTAGATCCTCCTAAATACTACACACCGGATCATGAAGAATTAGGGCTGAACGATTTTGGAAAATAATCTAATTGCGATTTTTTTTTTTCAATAGTGCAATTGCGATTTAATATGTGATTTTTTTAAGATCTTACCTTCTGTATTATTCAAAATGGACAAGCAGTAATCAGTGTATGATGACCAACACAATATTAGATAGAAGGAACATACACTATTCTTTCTTGACAGTCAGGCCAGGTTATGATGAATTAGGTAGAGAGGTTATGATTATATTATTATTATGAGCAATGGTGGAGAAGATATATCAAATTATAATAATATGAAAAAGATCATTTGAGTCAAGTCATGGCATTAAGTAATATTGTTGGTGAGAGCTATGACTGTATGTTGCTCTAGGGGATTCGCTGGAACACCTCATCCACACAGACACTCCGATTAGAGAGCGAGGCCGGACACAGTAGGACTGTTAACTCTGCTTTACTGATGAAGCACAACTCCAAATGAAATACAGCTCTGTGTTCCTGGTTTGCTGTTTACAGTTTGATTCATTAGAATTTATCTCTATTATCTGTTCTGTCTGAGACTTCACATGGACTGATTGACTCTCTTTCTGTACTGGTATCAAATCAGCCAGCACGTTAAACACAATCACTGCTACGTTAGTAACGTTATGTTACATTAGCGGCGAAATTCACCGTTCATTGCATATCAACGGAACTAATTAGCAATCATTAGCAGATCGTTGCCACCCACCTTCATCACAAACGCAGACAGGTATTGACGTAAAATAAACAAGAATGCCGTGAACGGCTGAATGTTATAAGGACCCCTTAGCTGCCTAACGAGGTGCCTGATGCAAAACACTAAATTCAGCACTGAACAAATCCTGCACCACAAACAGTAATAATAGGGAATTTACAACAGCCGCCCCAGAATAGCCTAGCTATTATGTAAAGACTACTAAATTCCCGAAGGTCTGCTGATGGACCCTGAACTGGTTCCGTCGTCATCTGAAATGGCCGGCAGCTGGACCAGACGCGCTACTGGCCGCAGGTAGGTCTTCTCCCCGACTCGGACCTCGGCCGACCGGACACGGCCATCTGCACTCTCAATCACCTTGACGATCTTCCCGATGGGCCACTGCGCTCTCGGAAGCTGGGGATCGATAATCATGACAACCGTGCTCTGAGTGATGTCATCAGTGGGCCACCGCCACTTCTGACGGACTTGTAGGGAAGGAAGGTAATGTCTAAGAAACTGAGCCCAGAAGTGGTCCCCATCATCTGACAGTGGCGCCAACGTCGTCTCGTGAGGGTGTCAGGAGCGTATGACACTTGTGGTAAGGAGGCGTCCCTCCGCCCCATCAGCAGCATGTTAGGCGTCACTGGATCGGGATCAGCTATGTCTGACGATACATAGCCTAAGGGCTTTGCATTGAGGATGCCCTCAACTTCGATCAGAAGGGTGAGAAGGACATCTTCATAGAGTGATTGCGTGCCAACAACCACTTGGAGATTGACGGATTGTATTTCACGCTCCCAAGCACCGCCGAAGTGAGGCGCTGCTGGTGGGTTGAACTGAAACTTAATCTGGTTCTTGATGAGTCTCTCCTTTAGATCTGGGCCATAGCCTCTTTAAGCTCCCTCTCAGCCCCTCGAAAATTAGTCCCTTGGTCTGAGAGTATCTCGGCGGGGGTCCCTCTTCGTGCAACAACCTTCTCAGTGCCAAGAGGAAAGTGTCTGTGTCGAGGCCTGCCAGCAGGTCTAGGTGGACACAGCGTGTCGTGAGGCACATGACGATCACTCCCCATCGCTTCTCGTTCCGGCGTCCAACTTTAATGATGTATGGACCGAAACAGTCAACTCCTGTGGAGTAGAAGGGGGGCTTTAGGAGTCGCAGGCGGGCCGGAGGAAGATCTGCCATCGTGGGGACAGAAGGCTTTCCTCTCCATTTGGTGCACTCCAAGCAGGTTCTCTGATTTCTTCACGGCCTGTCTCCCACGTAGGATCCAGTATTGCCGCCTGAGCTCGCGAAGACTCTGTCTGGGCCCGGGTGGAGCAGGCGTGCGTCCATGTCTTTGATGAGGAGTCCCGTGACAGTGTGCCTGGGATCAAGCACAACTGGGTGGATGTCAGTAGGACCGGATTCAATGTTCCTAAGTCGACCTCCAACTTGAATAAGACCAGACTCTCTATCTCTGGAGCAAGTGAACTCAGCTTACTGCTGGGGAACACAGGCTTACTAGCCTTTAGGCGCTTGACTTCTTCAGGAAAGCTCTCTGCTTGGCTGGTCTTCAGCAGGAGGACCTCCGCGTGACGGAGATTAGGAGGCCCTGATGATGGGTCTGCGGCCGCCCCTGAAGCGACTGGTGCGTAGCCCTAACCGGTCTGCCCAGTTGTTGAACTGTGAGGTGTCTAGAAGTGGGTCTGGAGGCGTGTTGCATGAGGCCGCAGAAGATTGTCTGCTTGAGCTCAGAGGTATCTGCTGGGTTACGGAGTCTGGAACGAAGCCATTCTTGTGGTGAGAGCGGAGGAATGCTGGACCCTGGATCCATCGATTTGAAGTGGTTAGCTCGGCCAAGGTCTTACCCCGTTAGGTCGTCAGCCGGATTGTTTGTCGTATCTACGTACTGCCAGGTGTGAGAAGCAGTCAGGTCTTGGATCTCGAGACTCTGGTCCCAACGAAAACCTGAACCTGCAGGACTCAGATGTCAGCCAGGTCAGGACTGTAGTGGAGTCGGTCCAAAGATAAGCTCTGTGATGTTTAGAGTGAGCTCTCGATGGATGAGGGAGGACAGCTGAGCCCTGTTAGCTGCGCAGAGCTCTAGACGTGGCATTGACTGTTGGCGTTTTGGGGCTACTCTGACCTGGCCATGACGAAAGAGACGTGCACTGCCTTGTTGACGGTGGTTGTGGTGAGATAAGCGACCGACCATACGCCTGTTCCGAGGCGTCACAGAAGACATGGAGAGTGTACTCTGTAGCTTCAGTAGCCACTTCGATGGATTGATGTTCGGGGAATGGACACACCAGCCAGTTCAGGAAGCTCACTCTCCCAGCTCGACCAGGCCTTGATGATCTCTGGAGGAAGATTAGGGTCGTCCCAGCTCCTCTTCTTGGCCCACAACCTTGAACGAGAACTTTAGCTCTTGTTGTGTAAGGGATGATGATCCCAAGCGGGTCGTATTGCCGGGCGAGCACCTAGTAGACGTGGCGCATGGTGAGTGTTTGACTCTCCGGAGGCTTGGCTCGGAAGCCGAGTTG